TCCCTTGCCTCCTGCCTCCCTTCCCCGACCTCCGTCAAGTTTAGAAGGTTTTGCTGCTCAGGTGGGATCCCAAGGTTTCCTTTTTATTTTACTTCGTAGTACTTACACTGCATAGACACACATGGTGCTGGCCACTGCTCACGCTTTCCATTATCTTTACCAGGATGAACTTGGAAAGAGGCCTTGACCTGCCAGGGCCCTCCTCTCCACCCGAGCCCCATGTATCTGTGACCCCCACAACACCATGCCTGCCTCGCTGTGCTTTCAGGTGGGAGCTTGTCTCCCTGACTTCTAGCCTCCATGCTCTGTGCTCCTGCCTTCTTTACCCACTCTGGGCCTTGGGATCTAGGCAGCAGCAGTTGGCTTTGGGGACTGCTCCTTGTCTCTCCCTGGTTTGGCTGTGCACACCACCTCCGGGGGACTTTCTAGAATAGGTGTTGGCAAGCTTTTATTTGGTAGAGAACCAGAGTAGCTGGGTGCATGGTGCACACCTATAATCCCAGCCATTTATGAGGTGAGGCAGGAGCATTGCAAGTTCCAGGCCTGCCTGGGCAACTTACTGAGATCCTGTCTTAAGAATAATTTTGGAGGGAAAGAAAAAGTAAAACAAAACTGGGGAATGGAGTGTAGTGCTCACTGGTAAATCTTCAGTCTGAAAAAAAAAAAAAAAAAAAATCTTCAGTCTGAAAAAAAAAAAAAAACAAACAAAAAACATAGGTATCTTAGGCCTCCTGAGGCACAGGCCGCCTCAGACTCCTCCTCATCTCCTCTTCTGCATTTTTTGCCCCTCTGAAAATATCACTCCTGACTGCCTTTTTTTTTTTAAAGGGGGACAGATTTATTTAGATAACAGAGAGTAAAACTCAGTCCAGAGCTGGCAGCTCCAAGGCAGGGTGGCGTGGCATAGAGAAGCAGTTCATGGCAGGCAAAGGGCAGCAAGGCAGCAAGCGGTGAAGTAATAAGGCAGCACGTGACAACAGCAAGTTATACTCCTCCCATACCCAGCACGGGGAACACTTAATCCTAGAATTATACCATTAATCAATCCCAGCATCACACACTCTAGATCCTGCTGCCTCCCCAAAGTTCCACTCAGGGCCCCATAAGGCATGAGGCTTTAAACATTTAGATACAAGCTATAATAGAGGTCTTTTACTTTCTTGGTTAGATTAATTCATGGGTATTGAATTTTTTTATTTTTATTTATTCTTTTAATTGAGAAATAAATATGAATGAGACAGTTTCAAAGCTGGTTAATAGGACAGTTTCGATAATCAATACATTGTACATTGTTATCTTCTTAGTGGTTATCCATAGTACAAGAAGCAGACAGGAT